ACTCTTAACTTTTCCATTTCCTTTCTTACTTTTCTTCCATTACATGATAAAGACTAAAATATAAATCTTCTGCAGAAGCTATATCACATAAAGCATATGTATTATTCTTGAAAATTTATGCAATTTTTATCAGTGAGAATAATATGTTGAAAATAAACTTAGGAATAAACACTCTAGCTGAAGATTTCTTTGTATGTAAACAAATTTTGTTGTCTGTGGTCACAAATTGGACTCCTAACCTGGTGCAAATTCTCACAATCATGTAGTTGGTCATAAAGTAAATTTAAAAAGTGTGAAAAAATAAAATGCATCTAATGCTATAACTGAAAAAAAATTCAGAAATATATCTCCCAGTGTTTATATTACCATAGTAATAGCTCTGTACACATGCAACTGAGTGCAACCATTAGGCAAACATTGAGCCTGCAACACTAAATGATGTTGGCATTTGACAATCACACTTTTGGTTGATTGGTATTGACTATCAAACGATTTAACTCAGAAGATAAGTTTACTTTGGAAATTAAAAATTCCAGTGTCTGGTAGGCATGTGTGAGTGTGCAGTGTGTATACTGGAAAATTGCCAGCATTCCACTATATGTTCTCAAAAACCAGTTATTTTGAAGAGTAGAAAAAACATCCCTGCACCTTCAGGTAGTCAAGTGATCTCATTATACTGCATCTGATAAATCACTTGGTGCTATTGTGGGCACAAGTATATAAAAAAACTGGCACTCCTCCTACCTTCCTTTGCCAACACATAAATACCCATAGAAACTCAATATTATCTTAGGATGAAGACCAACACATTTTCTCTGAGATTATTTATACTACTTATATGGCCAAAAAAATTTTTTTTGATAAATATCCTTGGTTATTTTTAGTGATCAACAGGCTCATTCTGTTTCTATAAAAGTTCTCTCTTCAGTGCTCTGATAGCTCTGGTGGGTTTCTCATGCATTAAAATGGGGTAGTAACACTTTTTTCCATTAGTGGAGTTCAATATAAGATTATCGGATCTGGTCCCCTTTGTAGAAGGATCAGTTATCCAAGTGACAAATATACCCTTTTATAAGGCATTCTCCCTCAGAGTTTTCACCAAAGCTAGAGTTAGAGAGGTGCTTTGAGTATCAGTTATTAATCCTTCTCTTTCTTTCTTCATCAGTAATTATGTATGTCTTTGTTTAATATTAATGAAGTTGTATAATTTCTTTTTTTCTTTTTGAGACAAAATTACCCAGCCTGGAGTGCAGTAGTGGCCCAACCATGGCTCATTGCAACCTCCATCTCTCAGGCTCAAGTCATCCTGCCACTTCAGCCTCTTGAATAGCTGGGACTACAGGCACATACCACCATGCCTGGCGAATTTTTTGTATTTTTGGTAGAGATGAGGTTTCACCATGTTGCCCAGGCTTGCTGGAACTCCTAAGTTCAAGCAATCCACCCTTCTTGGCCTCCCAAAGTGCTGGGATTACAGGTGTGAGCCACTGCACCAGGCCTGTAGGTGTATAATTTCTGCAAGAACCAGATAATGATGCACTCAGCCTATTGGGTGGTTTTATCCAAGACTATACTCTTTCAATCAATGAAAGTATTGTTTGGGATTTTCAGAACTCTTGAACACCTCAAAAAACTTGAAGATAAATATGTTAAAATAAATTATAAAATTTTTATTCTTTTTCATTCATTCATTTGAGTATTGTCCACTTACTTTGGGATAATTACTGTTATAGGCACTAGAGATCAAATATAGATTTTTTTTTTAAGACATGGTCTCTGCCCTCAAGGAGCTGACAGTCTAATGAAATTCAGAGACCCCTCATGGCTAGGAAATGAGCTTGTCAGACTGCTTGGTTAGCTTTTTAGTTTGTGTTTTGGGGAATTATATTAATACTTTGAATATGTCAGGGCTTAGTTAGAAGACAGCTTAGAGCAGGAAGCATAAAGAAGACTGAATTGAGTGCATTTATTTGATAATTTACCAAGGTCTAGCCCTAGCAATATTCTCACTACTGTCTTTGCCCTAAAGTCAGTCAGAAGAAATTAAAAGCCAGAGGATAGAAATATATACAAATACTTGCATGGAGTTATACTATGCTCAGGACACAATTAAGAGGATATAATTCCATCTGTAAACTATTTTTTTCAGAAAAGCAAGACAACACATTCATTAAAGATCTTTGACACAAAAAATAAGTCCTTTGAGGAAAGTCTGATGATCTCTAATATTCTTATTCACTGTTTGAAAGCTAGTATAGCAGTCCCAAACAGGTCCCAAAAGCAGGGGGAAACAGGGACTTCAGTATAACCATTGCTACAGCAGAGATGTACATGAATACCATTTGCAGTATATGGTCTTGCTCTGGGTCCTCAGGACACAGTAGCCTAAAGAACCATGGCATGTATTTCTTCTCTCTCTAACCCCATCCTTGTTCACCTCTTCCATGTGGCTATCTATCTTCCTTAATGCAATCATGTGGGTAAAATGAGCTGCTTTGTAGCTCCACATGTTGGTGTTTAGAGCTCTCTATGAGCCAATAGGATAAGCATCTCTACTTGGATGGACATTGATGATATTGAGGAAAACAGTAGGTTACTGAGGGGAAATCAATCATATGTACATATATGTTGATGTCTTGGTGAAGTGAAATGATTAGGCAAGAAGTGAGTAAACACCAAGACTCCTATTATGCTTCTAGCATTGGCGAGAAATGAAGGGGGTTGATGATAGTGAAAGTAGTGGCCAAGAAGAAGGGAAGAAGGAAAGATCAGTCAATGATTTTTAAAAGTCATGCAAGAATTGCACAGACAGTATATGTTTACTCAAGGGGGAATCATTGTTAGGTTTGGATTCCAGGCAAAAAAAAATTATCTTCCCTCCAAAAGACTGTGGAATAATCTCACACACCTCCATCCTCTCCTCTCACACCATCTCAATGCAGAGATGCTGTTCTTGGGAACCTGGGGAGCCTGCAACCCAGGCTCTCCAAATATTGGGGTTCAAGGAACACAGGACCTCTTGAAATTATATTCAAAATATGTGTGTGTGTATGTGCATTTTCTACTGAAAAGGTTTATAGCTTTCATTAACTTCTCACAAGACACTCTGAGCCTTAAAGTTCAAAACTACTGCTACTGATAAAGCATGGCTTTCAGAGAACACCGATACAAAATAAAGGATTCAGTAGGGATAAGGAATCATACAATATTACCAACCTGATATTTTCAGAGTATATTCTCACAGAAATCACTGGATAAAGAAATATTACTTAGAGAATGCCCTTTGCACAAAACATAAATAACTCCTTAAACTCCATATTGAGTTCTCAAGCTAGAAAATTAGTTACCTTAAAGCAGTGGTCATGAGATGAGCAATTTGGAACCTGAAAATTAGACTAAAAGTTATCAGGTCACTGAGTTCCTTAGTGACTTTTCATTTTGTGTTTTTTTGTTTTGCTTTGTTTTTTTTTTGAGATGGAGTTTCTCTCAGTTGCCCAGGCTGGAATGAAATGTATGATCTTGGCTCACTGCAACCTCTGCCCCTTGGATTCAAATGATTCTTCTACCTTAGCCTCTTGAATAGCTGGGATTACAGGCACCTGCCATCATGCTTGGCTAATTTTTTTATTTTTAGTAGAGATGGGGTTTCACCATGTTGGCCAGGCTGGTCTTGAACTCCTGACCTCAGGTGATCCACCTTCCTCAGCCTTCGGAAATGCTGGGAACCACCACGCCCAGCCATTTTTTGTTTCAAGCTATCATTTGTTGGGCACCTACCATATGCCAGTAGTTGAACTAGACACTATATGTACATTAATTTACACATTTCATTTCATGTATAATACAATGTTTAATAAGTTTGTCCCTGATGCTTGAGTGTTTGTTTCCAGAGACCCTAAAAGCAAATCAATGGCAAGCTTTTCCACAGCCCAAACAAAGAAAGATGCTGGATCACTGATACAAAACATACTACAAAATAGTAAAAGAAAATCTTCATTAGCCAATCACTCACCTCCAACCTTTATAAGAGAGCTAAAGAGGCCAGTGATTTTGGGGGGAATCATTTTGAAGTGAGTTACTCATGTGTCTTTGACTTTCCCTGACTCACAACTGCCTGTTCCCATAGAGGAAGATGGTGGAGAGCTTCACTCTCACTTGTATCAAATGACAGAGGCTTCAAGAACATTCTTTAGAGAATTTAGCATGTGTTCCCTAAGGCTGGGGAGATCCCTAAGGCTGAGGCTATTTTTGCTAGGAGAAATTTAAGGTAAGAGTCTGTCTGTAGCAGAAAGATCAAGGGGATGTGGTATAGAGAGTAAGCCATGCTTCTATCCATGGCATGGGTCTTTGCCATGGACCAACTGTGGGTTTATGGAAGAAAGGTAGCCTGGGGTTGTTTGGACAGGGACTCTGCCTGAGAGGACTGTGTGGAGATATGCCAAATATCACAGGGGAAAGAATCCCCAGAAGCTCAAGTGTTGAATGGAGAACCATAAATGCACTGATGGAGGCAAGGCATGGCCTGCCACACCAGAAATGCATTCTTAAGTCCTCATTGTGGAATCTAAGAGTCTGCTTTGTACAACTGCTCTGTCTAATGGCTGCCAATACTACTTGACAACTGTATCCATCAGGTGAGACCTGTTTCTCTCTTAACCATCTTATCTCTCTTCTAAATACCATGTTGGAATATACCAAAGCAGTATCACATTAGTAGGAAAAAAGGTAAGGCAAGGAAAAAAAGTGCTCACTTTATCCCCTTGTCATATGTAGGCTTTCACTCTTGCAACAGGCTTGAGCTGATGCTGGAGAGAAGAGTAATTAGACAAGAGTAATTAGACAAGAGCCGATGATTTGTTACTGTTGTGGATAAACCTAGATTAGACTTTTAGATCATCTAAAAATAGTGTGACTATATATCCTGATTTGTGTAGGTCAACTTTGATTTCACATGGTGCCCTTGTGTAGATAATAAATCATTGTCCTTTTGCTTTCAACAGTGAGATGGTTTGGATGATAATTTATATGATCACCCAACCCAAGAGTGATTCTGGAGTTTATGGTGCCTGGAAATTTCATCTACTGATGGGAGAAACAAGTGAATATTCCAGGTACAAAGTGGAAATGTTAAGAAAGGATTGTTTGCTTCTTGTGCATTAAGTAAGAGGTCACTGAGTGAGAACAAAGAGGGAAATACGGTCATAGTGTATCTTTAGAAAATATTTACAGTGAACTTTGTAATTGTCTTTCTAGACTGTAAATGCAGTAATGCTTAAGAGATAGTTTTTATGTCTTGTTATTATCCTTAGGTAAATATTATTTTCTATGGTTACATAGAGATATTGAGATCTATTGGGAACTCTTGATCATTAAAATCAAGATTCTGGTGACCAAATGGACGAAATCATGTAAGCAGATTGTGTTACACAGTTTTTATCTACAGGATTTATTTCTATCCAGATGCATTTTTCATTACATAAGAAGACAAGAAAACCTAAAAAAAACTCTAAAAAATAAATTCTTGATCAGACAAATTATGCTTAGAAAATATTCAGTCATTTCAACTAAAAATATCTTGGTTTGTATGTATGGCTATTTCCCTGCAAATGACATTAAAAAATCTCGTGGGAAATATATAAATATTTGAGTTATATAGTGCATAGTAAAAGTACAATTCATCATAGAAACCACTCACTTCTATCAAAATAGTCTAAGGAAACAGGTGTAGAATAGATTATATTCCATTTAAAACATTGCTTGCTTTATTGTTTTAAAATAGGCTTATGTGAAACTGCACCCGCTGGGAAAAAATGAAATCAGAATGAATCATACATCCAAAGGTCATTGATCTAAAAATATAGGTCTTGTAAAATGAATAAACATAATCTGTTTTGTGAAAGCACAAGTGAGAGGATTCTAGCATCCTTCCAAATCATTTAAGTCTCCCAGGTTGTTAATTAATTCATCAGTAACAGAGAAGGCAGGCACTGTAGTGCCCTGTCCTCCTGGGGAAGCAGAGCAGATAAAAGGTGATCCTGCTGAGGAAGGATAGAGATCAAGGACTTTGACCTCTCCCCAGGAGAGAGACAGAAGCATATGTGCAAAACAGACAGGAAAGCTGAGCCCTAACTCTTGATTGCTTACCTTGAAAGCGGACTTAGCAAGTCCTCAGGAAACACTGCCTATGACGGTGAGGAGCATGCAACACTTCCAGCTCAGAACAGAAAATTGACCAATGAAAAAACAGAACTGGTATTTGTTGTCATCAAAACATTAAGCAAGATTCTGAAAAGAAAAGAAAAGCAGATATTTCTCATGTAGAGGTTTCCAGTTTTTACAGAAAGGGAGAATAACATTAAGAATACTAGGGGTCGGCCGGTTGGGGTGGCTCACGCCTGTAATCCCAGCAATTTGGGAGGCCGAGGCGGGTGGATCGCGAGGTCAAGAGATTGAGACCATGCTGGCCAACATAGTGAAACCCCGTCTCTACTAAAATGCAAAAATTAGCTGGGCATGGTGGCTTGCGCCTGTAGTCCCAGCTACTCTGGAGGCTGAGGCAGAATTGCTTGAAGCCGGGAGGCAGGGACTGCATTGAACTGAGATCCCGCCACTGCACTTCAGCCTGGTGCCTGGCAACAGAGCAAGACTCTGTCTCAAAAAAAAAAAAAAAAAAAAGAATACCAGGGGTCTACCTGTACTGCTGGAGAGAGCTAACAGGAATGTACTATTTCTCAAGTGTATTTTTCTTTCTGAATTTTTTAAACTGAGCCCTTAATCAGCAGACAACTTTCTTTGATAAGTACTAGAAGGTATTATAAGATGTATATTATAGAGTTTTGGATAGCTTAATGTAAATAGCTGCCTGGCCTCACTGAGACATACATTTTTTTATCGTGGTGCTTTAGTGTGAGAAAAGAAAGAAAAAAGGGTTTTAATTGTGTTTTTTTAATTCTGCTTATTGGTGAGTAAATAGACATATTTACAGTGGAATGATCAATGGTGGGGGCAGTGAGACCTGTACACCCTGGAGACAGGCTATTTCAGGAGATGCTGTCATTAGATAATTAAAAACAATAATAAAACTAATAAAAGCCAGAGAGACTTTTATTACCACTACCTGCTAGTGATTGTAAACATCAACAGTAATAAAATACTCTTCCCAGCCAGACTGAAACCCTCCCTTCACTGACTTCCTCACACCAGGGGATGTCTGTACATGTTTGTGTGTGTGGGTGTGTGCATATTTATATACATGAAAATCTGCAGGCACACCTACCTATTATGGCCCACTTGGAGATCTCACTTTGTTAAGAAGGAGCTTATTCACTTGTAAATTGGTAGAATGACCATGTAAAGTTCAAGTATAACCTGGGCCAGGATGCAACACCAGCTTGCCACAAAGGCTTATTATGTCATTGAAAAGATAACTATTTTTAATGATTTTTTTTAAAAGAAAGTCTCTTTATAGTGTTAATCTCTTAACCATAAGCTAAATCTCCATTTAGTGTTTGAAATTGTTGAGGATCATAGATGTGAACTAATTTTCCCAATGTCACAGATTTTGTAAATGGTAAGGAAGGGAATTTAATTCAAGTCATCTGAATTTAATACTTTACTATGTTTCTAATAAAATGTTTTATTTCAGCAATGTGTTTTGTTTTCCCAAACTCAGTAAATTATTTCTTTTTATTTAAATCTTACTAACTCTTAAGTTAATAAAGGTAGATGTTTAAAATTCACCTAGATTTTTTTGACTTGTATTGAATCAAGGAAAAAATTATTTTTAAATTAATTTTATTTAAATTATTTTAAAAAACAACTTCTTCTAAAAAAAAACATATGTACAGAACATGCAGGTTTGTTACACAGGTTTATGTGTGCCATGGTGGTTTGCTGTGTTTATTGACTCATCCACATTAATAGGAAGAATCAATATTGTGAAAATGACCATACTGTCCAAAGTAATTTGTAGATTCAGTGCTATTCCCACCAAGCTACCCTTGACATTCTTTACAGAATTAGAAAAAATGATTTTAAATCTCATATGGAATCAAAGAAGGCCCCATATAGCCAAAGCAATCCTAAGCAGAAAGAACAAAATTGTAGCATCATGCTACCTTACTTCAAACTATACTGCAAGGCTGCAGTAACCAAAACAGCATGGTACTGGTACCAAAACAGACATATAAAACAACGGAGCAGAACAGAGATTTCAGACATAACATCACACATCTACAACCATCTGATCTTTGACAAACCTGACAAAAACAAGCAATGAAGAAAGAATCTCCTATTCAGTAAATGGTGCTGGAAAAACTAGCTAGCCATATACAGAAAACTGAAACTAGACCCCTTTTTTATACCTTATATAAAAATTAATTCAAGATGGATTAAAGATTTAAATGTAAAACCCAAAACTATAAATACTTGAGAAGAAAACTTAGGCAATACCATTCAGGACATGGGCATGGGTAAAGACTTTATGACAAAAATGCCAAAGCAATTGCAGCAAAAGCTAAAACTGGCAAATGGGATCTAATTAAACCAAAGAGCTTCTACATAGCAAATTTTATTTGAATTCTAATCCAAGTTTTTTGTACACACATGAGGACTGTCAAATTGCAGTTGCCCAAAATAACTTGCGATTTGTCTCATTTGTTTATGCAGACATAAAAATAAAATGTTCGTGATCACAAGTGTCTACATACTTGCATGTATCTAAGTGTGTAAATTTTTGCTGCCTATGATAGAATTAGTCAATAGCACATGTGCTCTCAGTGGTTAAATTCTATAAAACTGGTGAAAAGTAAAGTTTGAGAACCTGCATTTTCACAGAGACTATCAAAGCATAATTTCCAAAATTGACAAATGAAAATATCTAAAATGTTTAGTAAGGGAGAAAATTTGTCTTTAATATAAAATTCTATTTTTGCTACAAAAATGGCCCTAATTAAATTAGTTTTAGAATAAACATGGGGATAATTTTGAATGTATTGGTAGAAATATAATCTTACATAGTAGCCCCGATAAATGCATTTTATTGTACTCAATGGAATACAATTGACTGCTATACAGTTAATGGAGAAAATGGACACATTAATCTATGTCTATATATCATTTTGTTCAGTGCTTGTGCAGGGTGCTGTGGGAACACAAGTGATGGTCACCTATACCCAACTGGGTGTTGTAGAATGTAGCTTGAAGTAGATTATGAAAGTGAGAGATTTAGCTAAAGGAAGAAAGGGGGAGTAGAGAAAATGGTGACTCAAGCAGAGGGAAGCATCCCAGATGATGCCATGAAGGTACTATGGAGCATGACAAGGCTAAGGAAAGCAAGCTGGTTATACCTAAAACATAGGTTGCGTGGATCAGTGTGGAGGAGTTGATGCTAGAAGATAGAGAGTAGACAGATGTAGTGTGTTAACAAAAGAAATTTGAATTTATGTTGCATCAATGGGAAAATAAGGCAGAGGCTGATAGTACACAACCCAAATCTTTCTTCTTCTTGGGTCACAGCTTGACTGTATTGCAGCCTCACTCAGAACAAGATGTAGCCATATGACTGAGTTCCAGTAATGAAAAGTAGCACTGATAGGTGCCTCTCCTATTGGCAATATTCTGAATAAGCTTGGCTATCATGTGTTGAAGATGTTAGAGCCTATATCAGCCTGATTGCTGCCAGCATAACACTTGATATAAAAGATGACATTACCAATGCTTGGGTCGTGACAGCTGGGTCTAATTGTTAAAATAGTTTGGGCAATCCTAAATTGGGAATAAATTAAAGAATAGTAATCTGGGTTGTATTATAATCTGGTTTATATTTGGGAGCAATATCTTTGACAGGAAGGATAAGTATGAAAGGAGTCATTTAGGAGGCTACTGTAGATAATCCAGATTTGAGGTGGTGAGGACTTGGACCATGGAAGATGGTTAGAGAGTTATATCTAGCCCCTCCCTTCCACCCTCCCTCCGTCCCTCCTCCCTTCCTCCCTTCCTCCCTCCCTCCCTTCCTCCCTCCCTCCCTCCCTCCCTCCCTCCCTCCCTCCCTCCCTTCCTTCCTTCCTTTCTTCCTTCCTTGCTTCCTTATTTTTTTCCTTTACTTCTTTTT